TTTTTTTTTTTTTTTTTTTTTTTTTGGGTACATCAGATGATGGGCTAATACAACAAGGTAAAACCCTCTCCTTTCATTAATCGCTCCCCACCCACATCAAGATTTGAACTCAGGATCTTCAACTTAGAGTCTCATGCTCTTAACCACTTGAGACATCCCTTCAGGAGCACATGACTGGCATCTAACATATACATATGTCAGCATCTATGTAAACCAGAGATCAATCTACTGCAGTAGATAAATAATATAACAGCAGAGATGCTGATCAATATATATATATATATATATAACAGCAGAGTCATTTGAACTCTAATTTCATTTTTAGAAGAGTTTGTTGTTTCCATTTAAATACAATTTAAAAAGTATTGACTCCATACATATCTAAAGAAAAATTTCAAAGGCATTTGCATGTCCAAAAAAAAGAAAAACTTAACTCTTTTATAATAATTTAAAATTTAAAATCACACACCTGCTGCCATATTTCAGTGATGTAAGAGGTAACTGCAGGTTAGACCTTGGACATTTGTGTGTTGGGATTGGCATTATGAAGACTAGTAGACATGCTCAAACACAATCCATGAATCAGTGATTCCAACCTCGAACAAGATTCCAGCCATTAGGTCCAAAGAGACATCAATTAAGAACCAAAATTGGTATGGTATAATGAAATTGCAATAGCTGAGTAAGCACTCCTTTTGCATACCAAGTTCTCTAACATTGAAGCTGTTTGTTAGCAGCATTTAGATTCCATATTGATTGGTAAGTGTCTTCCAAAACTTCAACCAAGAGTGACATTTGGGTCTTCTTCATCAGAGTCAAACTCAACCTGCAAGAAAATTATAGAAACAAATGGTGACCTTGAGTTTCTATCAAGAAAACAGTTCCTTGTAATATGAAAAAATATACATTTACCTCCACAATGAAATAAAAAATGTGTACACAATAAAGCAGGTATTAAGAAGTGTGAGAAAGTTCAGAAAAATAGCATTTTACTTTGGAAAGCTAAAATTGACAGTAGTATAAAACGTCCTAGCTGAAATATTGTCTTCCAGATTATGAAACTACAGTCAAATCAAGAAGGCACATGAACAGAAACAAAATGCAAAAGTATCCAACAACTGAGGGTAAGAGGGTAAAAGAAATTAAGAAACTCACATTTTCATCCTTGTACCATTTCCCATGGCAATCACGTTTCCAACCTGCAGCAGTAAATTTCAGTTCTCTCTCTCTACGTTCACAAAAGTCCAATTGCTGCTGTACAACAATGCTTTCAGATGCTGCAGTTGCAATAAAAGAGTGATTCTCACTAATGTTTGATATTGCATTGATTACATTTCCCCCACTGTCTTGATTTTGATTTATAAAATCATTCTTAGGAGTATTATCAGAGAATATCTCAGAAGCAGCCTTCCTTGTCTGTTGAATTAATGGTTTGCTCACTGAACCAACTTTTTTGTTGGAGGTAGAGGTGGCAGAGGCTATAGGCGAGTCTGCCAAAGCTATTCTCTTGTTAACTTCATCTCGTCTCACAAGTTCTCTTTCCTTCAGTTTGGACTCCGCGGCTCGATGGCGTGACCCTTTGCAATGCATCTAGAACATGACTCTAAACTATCAACAACTGTTGTCCTGAGAAATGAATAAAAACAAAAAAAAACAAAACCCACTTTGGACTCCACTAATATATATACAATCATGTCAGTATCGATGTTGTCTCTTAGTCTACGAACAACTAAAGCCGGAATCTCTACAATAGATCAATTAGCAACCTGCAACCTCAAACTCCATAAAACAATTTTTTGGATTTACATTATAAAACCCCCACTTCAAAATGTCAATGCGTGAACATATGAAAACTCATCAAGTATTTAATAAAACAAGAGTACCATAGCGTCATTGAGAGGAAGAACATAGCCAGAGTGCCATAAGTAAAACTGCAAACCCGGATTTCAATTATTAGTACCAGTAGTTTCCACACAATCAGCTAAAAAAAAAAAAAAAGGAAATAAATGACACACAACAGTATTTTCCCTTTTGATCCCCACAATCAATTTCTCTTCCCTATCAACAAAAACACAGCGCTTGATCCAAAAGTCTGTCTTTTTTTCGCAAAAAAGGGTTATACTCAAAAGGGTTTCTAGAGGACAAATGCATTCTTGCAAGGAATTAAACAGAATCATGAAGTAAAGAATTGTAAAGGAAGGGAAAGATATGAAATACTTACAGAAAGCATGAGCGGGGTATCGAGGATGGGGTTTTGAGGGCAAACAAGACATGCGTATTTGCCGTTAGAAAGCTTCTTGTAAGAAGAGGCATGAATCCCTTCAATTACAACGTCGTCTACTCTCCTCTTCCTGTGCTGTGCTTCTCTCGCCCAGCTGTCTCCCCCAAACACACTCATCCCTTTCAATTCCTCTTTGCTCCCAACTCTAATTCTTCTTCCTCTTTGCTCCAACTCTGACTCGGTTCTGATCTTTACAACTGGGAACTGGCGAATGAACAGACATGAGATATCCGATTGTATTGTACTCTTTTGGGCTAGTATTATTATAGAGTTGAGCCCAACTAGATGTTGCCAGTTTGTCATCAGACTAATCAATTTTTAGTCGACCAATTAAATTCTGTTTTCTTTTTTCTTTTTTTCTTTTTAAAGAAAAAATGATTAAGAGTATTTTTTTTAATATTTCTATATAATTTTACATATTATTGATTAATAAATTATTTTTAATTCATTAAAATCTTAAATTGTATACCTATTTACTTATTTAATAGTAATATGTAGAAATAATATAGAGTGTGTTTGGTGCAACTTTTCAACTGTTTTAATTTTTTGATACTATTTATATGTATAAATTTAAATTTTTTTAAAAAAATTTATATTTTTTAATTTTTTTTACCATTAAAAAGACTATAAATAATAAAAGATCAAAATTTTCAAATTCAAATTTTTCATAAATTTTTTTATATACTTTTTACTTATTTTTTTATCTCTAAAAATAATTTTTTAATTTTTTCTTTAATAAAATTTTAAATTTATCACTTATAAACAATACTTTAAAATACTTTAAAAGTAAAACCTCCAAGACGCAGTGTAATTGTACCAAACCAAAAGTCCTTCTTCAGTCCGCACTTGCACTCCGAGATGACCTGCAAAGCCTGAGGTGAAACTCGGGGTAGACACTCCGATGCCTAAGTCAGTAATAATCGGGCTACATTTAGGGCGGAGATAAAAAGAGCTTAAGGTTGGTTTCAATTACCTTTTTACGTGGCCCGGGGTTATTTATAGGATCCAATAAAGAACCCACGTGGCATGCCAAGCAAGATATTCAGGATCTGATGTGTATCTCCAAACGATTATTTTGGGACCGAGAAATTGAGAGATATTCCGATGGGAGAATGCCTATCATAACCGCTGTGTAGCTCATCATAAGGAATCGGGTGCGGGCATGCTCATTGTTACTGTCATGCAGCTATTTGAGCGGGAAGCTTTGGGTTTATCCTTCACTTCGGTCATAAAAGAATTACTGTAGCAGTTCGAAGCTTGGCAGCTCGGACCTGTTCTTACACTATTCCCCCCCGAAGTCATTCACTTGTGAATGATGTTGTTGGGGAATAATGAGGGGAGTACATAAACAAAGAGAATTACAGATAAATCATAAAAGTAAAAGGAAGAAATAAAATTTGTAACTCAAATGCATACATAGCTGTCCAAGAGGAAAGAAGACAAGGTGGGTGCACAGCGGTGGCAGAGGTGGTGGCGGCGATGGCGATGAAACTCTTGTCTCCAACTTTTTTGTA